AGAACACCTACGGCTCGCAGAACACGTTCGAGTTGACGGTTAAGGGCTCGCAAAAGACCACTTATATTTACATGGGAGATGCTTGGGATTCGAAAGGGGGAGCAAGCTCAAACTATGTGTGGGCACCCCTGAACATCAATGCCGGGTAAGTGATTCTAAAACGACAAGCCTCTGATAACTAGACGCTGTATTGGCTAATTCTAGTCTTGCTTTGTGTAGATCGCACTCGGTTCAGATTGACTACCATTCGATGTGGAAAGTCGATGTTAAGACTGGAGCGGTTTCTTACCCTAGTACCCTGAAGCGGTATGAGGCCGAGCACGCCGTATTGTCAGGCAGGACAGGTAACGTACCCAAAACCACAACTTCTAAATCCAGAGACTGACGGTTACAAGTGGTGAAAGATTGCAATGAGTGTCTAAGCAAGCGTTCCGTACACGGAGGTAAGTCGTATTATATTCTACCCCAGACGAGACATGCTAGAACTGAACTGATCATATTTATAGTGGGCGACTCAAGCGAAGTGGCCTTCCACAATGTCACCGGCACTGGATCTCGTCAATGGCTCTCTTTCCACTACCGAGTCACCAACCCAGAAGGTAAGTAGCAATATTGTAATTTGTGTAAGAGGTATCGAAGCTAATAATAAACCATTTCTCTAGCTGGCGAGGCTCACATATTTGTTAATGATGAGCCGGCCGTCAACATCTCGAGCCTAAACTCTCGCGCGGGATATCACACTTCTACTCCAGTCCAGCTTACTCTGAAGCCTGGTGATGTGAACACTATCACGTTCGGAGCAACAGGTTCTGACGGTAAGTTATCTCTCAGCTAGGCCTAACTTATTGTGATCTTTACTGACGGTGGTTTTATTAGGATTCGAAGTTGCTGTGGACGGGATTGAACTCTTTGAAGAGGAAGAAGAGTGAAGGCTGTGAAGTAACGGCTTGCTGCTTCGTTAGAGTGATATCAGTGATATAAGATTCGCAGTATATATTGTGTTAGTTAATATTATGACTTCAATATCGATTTTGTCGATCTACAGCTTGCTATCTTCATGGTGATGATTGAGTTGAGTTGGTTATAAGGCCTATAGGTACTGATATTGGGGGGTAGAATGATGTTGATTAGGTTAAGTTGATAATTACTGGAGCAAAGCCCAATAATTTTCAGTATACATAGCTAGGTACCTGTAATTATATATGTAATCACCTCCCACAGAGGTACCTAACCTAACACATGTATCAATGTTAGGGCCAATGACGTAAATTGTTGACGTAAATTATATATAACTGATTGACGGGATTTATGAAGCCCCGCCATTTCTGCGGGTGATACAGATTATGAAAAGTAATTTATACGTATATTACGGTATAACTACTATTTGCAATGCTCGGCTACGGCCAAAAATAACAGTAAGAAATAACTGTAAGGCCTTAACGGTTAATTTAAAACTGCTCCAAAACTGTTCCGCTCTTACATACGTCGTTCGTCTTTTTGCCCCGCGTGTGTTTTCAGTCATCCTACAGTCTATTATTTATGCAATCAGGCATATCCAAGTGAATCGCATCGGCAACCCTGTTGCAGGTTGCAGGTAGGTACATGGAAAAGGAAGATGAAGCAAAGATTTTCCTCGTTGGACGTCAAGGTAAACCCCTAGGTTACAACATTTCCATTCTCAACCTCAGTTAAGCATCGCTAACCGCCATCCCCTCCTCTCGTTCTAGGTCATCGCTCACGAATTATCTAAAAGCCTCGTATCACTTCGGGTCTCCAACATCTATGACCTATCTTCTAAGATTCTCCTCTTCAAACTTGCGAAACCCGAAGTCAAGAAACAACTCCTTATAGATTCTGGCTTCCGATGCCATCTTACCGAGTTTGCGCGAACAACTGCCGCCGCTCCCTCCGTTTTCGTCCAGAAGTTGCGCAAGGCCTTGAAAACCCGACGAGTCACCGCTGTTTCGCAAATCGGTACTGATCGCATCATCGAATTCCAGTTCAGTGATGGCCAATACAGACTATACCTGGAATTCTTTGCTGGAGGCAACGTCATCTTAACAGACAAGGAGCTCAAGATTCTGACGCTGTTACGACATGTTCCCGAGGGAGAAGGTCAGGAGCCGCAGCGCCCAGGTCTTACGTATTCCCTAGAAAACAGACAGAACTATGGTGGAGTTCCCGCACTGACAAAGGAGCGTGTACGAGATGCGCTTCAGACCACTGTGCAAAGGGCTGCTGTTTCGGCTGCAGCGAGCAAGAAAATAAAGAGGAAGCCGGGTGATGAGCTGAGAAGGGGGCTTGCTACCACCATCATGGAACTACCTCCGATATTAGTCGACCACGCGATGAAAGTCACAGGGTTCGATTCGGGTATACAGCCATCTACGGTATTGGAAAATGAAGGACTCCTCGATGACCTACTACAATCGCTTGGGGAAGCCCTCAAAGTCGCTCATGGAGTAACTAGTTCCGACACCTGTAAAGGCTATATATTGGCTAAAACGAGACCGGGCCTTGATAACAAACCATCGGGAGATGCAGATGATGACCAGCAGCGGAAAGGTGCACTGCTATACGAGGATTTTCACCCGTTCTTGCCTCGCCAGTTTGAAGAGGATCCTGCTTATACAGTGCTTACTTTCGAAAACTTCAACGTTATGGTAGATGAGTTCTTTTCTTCCGTAGAGGGACGACAGCTAGAGTCGAAGTTGAACGAGAAGGAAGCCGCCGCTAAGCGTAAACTGGATGCGACTAAAGCCGATCATGCTAAACGGATCGAGGGCCTTCAAGCAGTTCAGCAACTTAATGTTCGGAAAGCCAGTGCAATAGAAGCTAATGTCGAGAGGGTTAAGGAGGCTATAGATGCGGTGAATGGTCTCATAAAACAAGGAATGGACTGGGAAGATATTGGCAAGCTTATCGACAGAGAACGTAAGCGGGGCAATCCTGTAGCTTCTATCATTGCACTTCCTCTCAAGCTACACGAAAATACTATCACTGTACTTCTTGGTGAGGCGGAAGAAGAAGAGGAGGAAGAAGATTATGAGGCATCCGATACCGACTCGGTCAGTTCGGATGATAGTGGTTACGCTGGCACGGAGGCATCTGCGCGAAAGGTTCAGGAAACCCGACTGACAATTGATATTGATCTCGGTATCTCTCCTTTCGCCAATGCAGGAGAATATTATGGAGAGAGAAAGAATGCTGCCGTGAAGGAGCAGAAAACAGTACTGCAATCAGAGACTGCATTGAAGAATGCGAAGCAGAAAATTGCCGCGGAGTTAAAGAAGGGATTGAAGCAGGAAAAGCCAGTCTTGCAACCTATTCGGAAGCAGCTCTGGTTCGAGAAATTCATATGGTTTATCTCGTCCGATGGTTATCTCGTTCTCGGTGGCAAGGATGCCCAGCAAAACGAGATGCTCTATAGACGGTATTTGAAGAAGGGCGACGTCTATGTGCACGCAGACCTCCACGGCGCACCAAGCGTGATCATAAAAAATAGTCCAAGCACACCTGATGCCCCTATACCACCTTCAACTCTGTCACAAGCTGGGTCTTTGGCAGTTTGTGCCTCGTCTGCTTGGGACTCAAAGGCTGGTATGGGTGCGTGGTGGGTGAATGCGGACCAAGTATCAAAGTCGGCGCCAACTGGGGAATTCCTTGGTACTGGTAGCTTTATGGTACGAGGAAAGAAGAATTTCTTACCTCCCGCCCAACTGATACTGGGTCTTGGGGTGATGTTTAGGATAAGCGAGGAAAGCAAGGCCAAACATGTTAAGCACCGTCTTTATGATCTCCCGGAAACCCTACCGAACAAGCCAAGCTCAGACGCTACTAGTAGCAAAGCTATATCCGACATCGCGAAAGAGTCGAGCGTAGAACATCATGATGATGATAATGAGAGTGACTCGGGAGACAGCGCTATAGATATCCAGGAGGATTCCGAGAGGAGAGAAAACCCACTCCAACCATCAGACAGAAATGACGATGAACAAGAGTCTCGGGAACAGGTTGAAGGAAGTCCGCCTCTTCAAGGAATGAGTAGTTTGACAATCTCCGAAGTACCTGATACCACTCATACAGCAGAGCTTCAAGACCACGAGATTGGTGATGAACAGGAAGATCTGGACGAGGTAGTAACGGAAGCTGATTTTGCACCTGTGACAACGATGAATAGTCCGCCTCCCGAAACGTCTGGCAAGTCCACGCCGCAGCCTCAAAAGAAAGGCCAACAGCCTAAGCGAGGACAAAAGGGCAAAGCTAAGAAGGCCGCTAAATACAAGGACCAAGATGAAGAAGACCGCGCCGCGATTGAAGCTTTGATAGGCGCAGCAGCTGGAAAGCAGAAGGCCGAGGCCGAGGCGAAAGCAAAAGCCGAACGCGAAGCTCAACGAGCGGCTGCGCTTGAGCGGCGCCGAGCACAGCACCAACGTCAGCAACGCGAAACAGCTGAACACGAAGAAATCCGCAAAATGATGCTCGAAGAGGGAATCGAGACTCTCGACACTAACGAGGCGGCTAATCTGACTCCTCTCGATGCGCTTGTTGGAACCCCGCTCCCCGGCGATGAGATCCTTGATGCGACTGCCGTGTGCGCGCCATATAGTGCGCTTGGCCGCTGTAAATATAAGGTCAAAATGCAACCTGGTACGCAGAAAAAAGGAAAGGCCGTAAAAGAAATCCTGGATGCGTGGAAGGCAGCTTCTACGAAGAAAGGTGTCGTGGACGAGAAGAGCGAGGACAAGGAGAAGATGTGGCCCCGCGAAGTGGATCTTCTTAAGGCCCTCAAACCTGAAGAGGTCGTCAATATTGTGCCAGTTGGGAAACTAAGGGTTATGCTTAGCGGAGGCGCTGGCGGGAGTGGAGGAGACGCAAAGGGGAAAGGTGGAAGTAAGGGTGGTAGTGCAAACCGTGGCAAGAAGCGGTAGGGGCGCTATACGATAGGTAGACGATGCATATCATCCAATCGATATATATTCCCATTATCCCTCGGCGACAAAGGTGATTGCTAGTATCCTCAGTGTAGGCGGTCAGGTATGAACCGAGACCTGAGTAAAAGGAGATATCATCGAAGCATATCTTATCTGAAATAACTGACTCGACGATACAGTATATGGTTTCTAGAGGCAAAGGTACGTAAAAAAAAAAAAAAAAAAAAAAAAAAAAAGAAGTCATATTCTACTCTCACTTATCACTTCTGATAATTGCTAATTCAGGAACATAAAATATTATATCAACTACCTAGATTAGAGGAACCATTAAACGCTATGCTTACCTTGTTATACAGTACCGTGCCATACTCTATACCGGAGAAGGGATTTCACATTACCTAGCACGTCTCTATTACCTCAACGGAGGCTACTATGGGTGTGTCGGGTATGTCGGGTAGAAGGGGTCTCTCCAGTCAATCATATTATCGTTGTTGTTAAACTTTGACTTCAGATACCCACTCTGGCCGGCACGGTTCTGGAAAAATTGCCGAGCCTCAGCGGGAATATTCAGGGCTTCTATGACTGGCACTCCGTCCCTCATGATCTGTTCCAAGGCGTACCTATAGTGCAGCGGTGGTGAGTTTCTCACGAAGTCGCAGATCCGGCAGCACACGGTCATCCACGCCATGATATGCGATGGCTCAAGCGATCCCCCCATGTGCCGGAATTCGAAAACTCCTCTTTGCTTATCTACGTTGAAGAACTTGTGGTCGTAGTCTATACTTTTCTGCTCGGATTGATCTTTGGGGCTCGGGTTCGCCTTTCCCACAACATCACCTGTGCCCTGGCATTTAATCATCACCTCGGTCTTCCGCGACCGGTGCCCCGTGCTCACGGCATTCACGATAGAGTTTATGTCCGTATATTGCCATATCATGGTGTGGAAAATACGAGTCGCTAGGTTCTCCCTCTGCTTGATCAAGTCGATGGGTAGATGCTCCGCCGCCCTCTGATTTAGTTTCTCTGTGCGTAGAGGCCCGTGTATCGGCACGATGCCACTGTTGTCGAAGTTATCCACGTCCTTGTTTGTCTGCGCTAGCTTAGCTAGCTGGGAGACTTCGCGGATGGGCCCGCACACTTTGTCATGCGGCCTTTGGCTTCGATACCATCGATTGAGGGACCGTAGTTCGTTGGAGACGGCCTCGGTGGCCAGGAACGACGATAGCTTCTGGATATCTAGGAGTGTAAGGCCGCTGGAGTGCGAAACGGAAATCTGCGTCGTCGCGGGGATCGACGGCGCGTCTAGGTGTACGCGGAAGTTATTACGTACGACTTTACAAATATCTTGGATCATGGTATCGATATCAAGAGGCGGCCAGTTGAAGGGCAGTACCGGCGACGAGATCTTGATTGTTACCCACCCGTATAGATCACTAGGGGTTTTCTCCGTCTGTGGCCAGTTTCTGTACTGTTTGCCCTTCGCATAATCCAGGTTTACCTCGTCCATTGCGTAGACCGAGAAGGCTCGATACCGCGGCCTCATGTCGGCTAAGGGGACATGGCGCTTATCTCGCCTTGCTTGGTATGCTTCCAGGTGGAGTAATTCCTCAAGGTGTTTCTCGGCATCATACCTATCCGAGGTGCTAGGTACGCCGTGCATGATGGCCCGCTGTGCGGCATCCTCGAGCTCCTCCCGACTTGCTAACAGAAAGTTTCTGGCGGGTTCCGAGTTGTTGAAATAGCTCAACTTAAGAAAATCTCGGGCCTGCACCGCCGCCCTCTCCGCTACCCGGCTTATAAGGCGCCTTTCGCCCGAGTGTCGCGATGTACTGTCGAGCTTGGTCACGTCCGCCACGAGGGGGAATCCATGTTCAAGCCTGTGCATATTCTCCGCCCACAGGTCTCCAAAGGGTGAGTCCTCGTCCTCCTCCCGATGAATGAAGACCATGTTGGTTTGCGAGTTGAGCACCTCGATAAAACGGTCCACCGTGATTTTATTGACTCGGTCTTTTGGGACGTCGTCGGTTACGATCTCCTCGGCTTCCCACCGGCGGTCGCGGGGGTGAGGTCGCTCAGCCATTAGCCCCCCTCGCCTATAAACGGCGACGGGCAACTCCAGCTCGAAACCTACCGTCCAGTACCCGGGCAAGTCGTCCTTGTAGATCAGGCCCGGGATCTTCTTATCCTTATTTGGTTGATTAGCTGGCGTGGAGGCCCCGCCCAGGTTGCCCGTATTGCCCCCAGTCGAGGGGCCAGGAGCAGCCGGCTGTGAAAATATTGGGGGGAGGTCGGGAAGATCAGGGTGGTCCGGGGCCTGCGTTCCGGTCGGGGAAAACATCTCGACCTCGTTGGGGAGCCAATCGGGCACGGCTTGGGTCTCTGTTCCAAGGTTTCCCTCTTCCAGCTCCCGTCTACGTATCAATTCATCGGCCGCGGGACTACGTATAGGCCAGGAATTCGATGGTTCATGGGTCTCGTCGTACTGCGCGTGTAGCTTGGCCACCTGTCTAAGAGTGCCATTCCGTATCTCTGCCCAAGGCACACGCTGGAAGTTGTGCATTTCTTGCCGCCAGTCCAGATTTAGCCAGTCCGTGTCAAGGAGCATGCGGTCCCAGTCATATACACGGTTATCCATTGTAACAATGTAGTTTACCTTGTCTGGTTTAGAATTAACGATTTACCTCGTCTCGTACTTACCTAACCCAGGTGCTTATACGAGGTTTGTATGTTTTCGTTTATTTGATTCGGTTATAGAGCAGCAGTCTTTGTAATATTGCTTTAGGTACTTTTATTATCACGAAGCAAGATGATCAAAATCGAATTTCTACGGGGACGTGTCCAATATAAACGCCCTCTATGTGAGACAGGCGACAACAATGACAACGACCCTATTGATGCTCTTGACGATTAAATAGACACAATGCAATTGATTTATGTCTGGACAAAGAGTCTAAATAGTTTCGATACGATTCGGCTCTTTTGATATGTATCATGCTTCTAGTTGAAAGAAGACGTGGAATATGAATCGTTATATTTCTATTGTTTATAATAAATTAAGAATCAGGAATTTGTGTTTATAACGGCAATTGTAGCATTAAGGTATATAATAGGGGGTTATGGATTTTTAAAGTCTCCTATTTTCCCCATCCATGATATTTCTTGGTCTATATTGTTTTGTCTGACTTAGCAAATAGACTTGGTAAATATTGAATACCTAAGGTTATTCACCATTAATCCAAGTATTTATATATAGATTCACGTTCTTTTATATATATCTGAACGGTAGGTACTAGGAGAGTTTTCCTAAGATGTACTTCTACAAGCATGATAGCTTTAAGTGAGTTTCTTTTATGTTGATTAGCCTTTTCCTAGACTCGGATACGAATAGCGAACATCTCGATTCAGGCTCATATTAGAGGTTGCGATTCAAAGCACTTCTACGTGTAGGAAATCGGGTCTTGCATTGTGGTACCAATTCGTGGACGGGAGCTTCACATTAAAGGACTAGTTACCCGCCCCTAGGGACAGATCGGGTTGATATGTTTGCTAATGCACCTATTGCTACGAAACTGTTATTATAGTCTCATCGCTAGGTCAAAGTTGCCGGTGACTAAAAAATAGAGGTTTCTAATAGCAGTGGGGTCTTATGGTAAAGGGGTTAAGGCTCTTTTAATAGTTAAGATGGGTTAATTAGTAACAGTAAAAGTGTTTCTTTAGGATCTTGATCTAGGTACTCAAGAATAACCCTTTAGTGTTTAATTCGCCCAGAAAGAACAATTAACTGGTGTGTTCTATAAGAACTAGTAACTACACCAAGTCTTTTTCTTTTCCTTAATCACAACTGGTGGACAATAGGGGCTATTGCTTTCCTATTATGGAAGAGAAACTACTACCCAAGGCCGAATGCCCATGGACGGCGTGGGGAGTGTGGGGAGGGTAGTATTGTTAATTCGGCCTTCCCGGCACTACCGAGAGCGCTTTGGGGATATGTCGACCTAAAGCATGTAGCAATATTTGGCGACATCTCCGCTCCTTTTCGATTCTTGAAGCCCCTGCATGCACAGGTCGGGAACATCTCCCGCTTTGGTAGCCGGTGGTCTCTTCTCGCCGATTCCGACGGCGACGGCCGTTAGACTCCAGATCTAGGAATCTGCATTTCAAGGATCGGCATGGTCCTGTTCTTCTATCCGGCTTCATGGGTGATGATGGTATGCCAGCAATATTAATAGCAGCGAGTTCTGTGAAGATAACAACACGATAGATACTAGACGTAGAAAGTTATATCTATCTACTTCGGCTTAAGTATCCAAAGCTAGTAGCTGGGTCGCTGATGGCGGCGATTGTTAGTACATACCCGTTAACACCGACGATTGATTCGTGATCATTGGCGCTGGCTCTGCAAGACAACTCCATATAAAAACATTTACTACACCTACCAGCCATAGAACTACATATGTAAGTGCCCTAGTTTGCTTTGCCGGTTGGTAGTAAGGTTAATGGATCCTTACTGAGTGAACTGTAGGCTATACAAACCCACCAGACTCATCGGATTGATGCCGAACTGCACGTGGAAAGTCCGGGAGTCGCCAATTCCGTGAAAGAGCCATTAAAACTCCTGGCCCCCAACCTGATACCAAGTGGTCTAGATGGGCTGACATTAGGGATGCCCGGATTCCTAGACACGTAAGGATATTAATATATGCATACATTGTAGCATACATTGTAGCATACATTGTGGTATACATGCATTGTAAGCAGTACACATATGGATTAGCTACCAAAATAGCTGTTCTTTCGGATAGCTGCTCTTTCTTATAGCAGCATGTCAAACTCGTTTCTGGAAACTTGAGTTACCAACAACGTGCATCCCTTAGCTACTCTGGGTGCAATGTTATGTAAGGTTGGTTGGTTGGTTGGTTGGTATATTTAATGCCGGGGCAAGGGGGAAGGATTAGCCTTCGTAGATTTTTTTAAGGGTATGCGGCGTGTAGAGTTATTTAGAATTAATATATAAAATATTTATTTATATGTATATAATATTGGTTTTTAATATTTTATAAATTTAATTTTAAAAGGTATATATAATAATATTTTAGCTGTTTTCGTTGATTTTTTTAAATAAATTTGTGTTTGGTGTAATATTAATGATTAAAGGCTGTTTATTAAGGCGTTATTATTTTGTTTTTAAATTATTTTATGTTAAGTTTTTTCGGGCGTAAGGTTTGTTTTAACTGTAAATATTATTTTATTGCGGTTTAATTATTAGGTATAAGATTTGAGGCGTTTTATTACGTAATATGTTATTAAGCGTTATTTATTTAGATTATTTTAGTTTTTATTTATTTTGTTTTTTAAAATTTGTTTTTTTAAGATTAAAGAAATGTAAGGAGTAAAATAAAAAAAAGAAATTATTAAAGAAAAGCGAAAGGGGTAGTTTTTTTTTTATTTGTTAAATATTTTTGATTTAAATTATTTAGGTAAATTTTGTTGTTTTAGATTTAATATTAAGGGTTAATTTTTTGGAAGTATAACGTAATTTTTAGAAAATGTTTAAATTTTTTAGGTTTTATTAAAAATTTTTACTAATATGTAATTTGGTTTAATAGTTTAGGTTTAAAAGTAGGTTATTTTATTTTAATGTTAGGTTTTTGTATTTTTTTATAAAAAATTAAGTAGTTTAAGGTTTTAATTTTATTATATGTGTAATTTAATTTAATATTTAAGTAGTTAAATTTTTTATAATATTATGTGAAGTTTTTATGTTTGGAATGAGCGGTTAAAAAGTGGTGTAGTATTTTTTTAAGTAGCTTTAATTTTTATGGGTATTTGAATTTAATAGGTAGTTTTAAAAGTTGGTATAAGTTTAAGGGTTTAGTTTTATTAGTTTATTAGTTTTAAAAGTTTGTGGTTGTTTTAACGCGGTATTAGCGGAGGATTATGGTATAAATTAAGGTTTTTTTTAGGTTTTTTAAGAGTAAGGTGTTTTGTTTAATTAATTTGTTAGTTTATTTGTTTTTTAAGATTTTAATATGTTTAGGTATTTAATATATTTTAATATTTATTAAGGAGGTTAAGTGTTAAAATTTTAAGAAGGTTTTTTAAAAGTTTAAAGGTGGTTTTTTTTTAACTTTTTTATAATTATTATATTATTTAAGTATATATATATTAAATAATTATTATTAATTTTTATAATTATTTAAAAACTTTATTTAATTTTTTTAACCTTTTTATTAAAAATTTTAACTTATTATAATTTATTATAATTATATTTAATATTATGTTTATTTTAATATAAAGTAAATTTATACCTTATATAATCTTTTAATTATAATTTATTTATATAAATTATAATATATGTATTGGAAATAATATATAATTATATTTTAAAGACTTTAACTATATTCTTTTTTAATTATTTTTTAGTAAATAATTTTTTAAAATTTAATATATATTTTTATATTAAGAATTTAAATTAAGGAAATGCGGGGAGTAAATTTATTATTTATTACATACACGTATATGTTTTAATAAAATCTTTTATATTACATTTTTACGTTATAATGAACAGGAGTTGGTATTTCCTACAGAATATGGCATATCACTTTAACGTTTAGATCTTTGTAAAAGGCCTTAAACAGTTGATAATAGCACTATACTTTAGAAGAACTATAAGGATTTATTAATCAAATAGAATATATATAATAAATATGTAAGATAAGGCTATAAGTTATAAATATGGGAAAATAACAAATATGTTTATATTAAATATATAACTGAATAGTAATAATTGTGGCTATTTAATTAGAAGAATACAACGAATATTAAACCTTTATATGGCTTGTAACTTAAGATTACATAATAATACCCTTGCTTTTAACGATGTGGCACCACACCAGTTCAGTATAATAATAATGGTTTTTTAACAATAAAAACGTTAGATTTAAGGGTTAAAAGTTTATTACGTTTTTTAATAATTAAATTAATAATAATATTACATTTAAATGGTTTCGTAAAGTTTTTTTAAAAAAAAATAAAACTATTAAATTGTTAGTAATGGTAATTATTAATCCTTAATAGTTACGATAACCATACCATGATAAAATTCTTTTAAGAATATTTTATAAATAAGGTTTACGTTATTTTTATTTTAGTATATTTATTGTATGTTTTATAAGTTATTAACGTGGGTATATTTTTATTAATGAAACGAAATTATTGTCGTAAATTTATTAAGGTATACCAATTATATTATATTTTTAATTTCGGTAAAAGGAAATTTATTATAGCTTATTAAATAATACAAAAAAAACATTTAATTAAATATAATATATTAATTAGCTAAAAAACTATAGGGATTTATCTTAAGGATTGGAATAAGCTATTAAATTATTGGCTTATACTTTGGGAAACTTCCAATACTACCTTAGCTTTTCCAGGTTTTATTTCTAACTTAAAAAAGCTTAATTTTATCAAAAATATAGCTTTAATTTTTTTAATAACGCCTTTAAGTTTATAAAATATTAATATTTTAATTAAAGAATTATTTAAAGTTAATATAACGTTTATTAAATTTACAATAAAGTTTTTATTTAATAAGATTAGTAAGGTCTTTAATAAAGTTATTGTGAAATTAATTATAATAGAAGTTTGCGTCAAGTATTTAAAAAAGGTATTAGTAAATGCGAAATCGTAAAAACGATGTAAAGTATTATTTAACCCAAATTTAACGTTTGTAAATATTAAGGCTATTATGAAAAAAAAGGAGTAATTAAAGGTTTAAGAATTAAATGGTATAATTATAATTAATAATTCTAACATTAATTTAAAAGATAAGGTTTTGTTAATTAAGTCGATAATAAAAGACTATATTGTCGTTAAAATATAACAAATTATAAATTAATTAAATTTAATTTGATTAAATAACGTTAAATTAAAGTTAAGGTGCTTATTTTGAAGGTCTAAAAATTTGAGGTGGCCCTTATTAGGGTGGCCCCCGTAAGGGTGCTTTGACTTAGGACGCAAAAGGCGGCCGGGGCCCGCATAACCCGGTGAGGAAGGCGGATTCCTGTCGCATTGTTCGATATTTCTTTACTGCAGCCTTCGTGCCTGTCTTCCCCAATTCCGCTTAGACCAGCCGATTCATTTGAGACCGTCTCCTCTCCTAGTTTGTCTGATCAATATTTTTATTTTTTATCAAGTTTATAAGACCCGAGTCCTACGCCGAGAACCCGCGAGTTTTCCAGCTGCAAGAACTCCCCGGATAATTCAGGATAATAAAAGTATCGGACCATTTTAGAGTCGAATTAAGGTTGAAGCCACCAAGTCCACTAGGCACGGGCCGTGGTGGAGCGACTTACTTACCGTAGCACCGTCGGATCCACTAATATAGCAATGTACCTAAGTAGTATTCCGTACGGGGTAATTATCATTTTTAATATCATGTTTTCAGCCTCATGCATCATATTACTCATTATATATCATTTTACATTTACTTGACACATGCAGCTTTTACATGACCACTTAAAAGATGACAAAGCAACGGATAATTATCTAATGTTTATGGTATAATAGCAATTACTACCCTGCTTGTTTAATGTCAGGTAGTTATATACATACTCAACGCTCATGTTGTACAACATAACAAATCATGCCATCTTTTTGCTTTTTATGCACGGGCTGGATTCTTATCCTTGCTAGTGTGGTTCCCGTTTATTAGCGGATAGACCTGCGGTCCCTCCCCCACGTTTTCTTCTTTACATATTGTCGCATATAATAAGTAATGACATTTTACGACATTACAAGTTACCTTTTGGTCAAGTGGATAATCTGACACATACCTATCTAAAAGGGGGTAGCACAATACGTAAACAGGTCTACATAGGGTGACCCCTCGATCAACTGAACGTCATTCTTTTATTGTCGTTTTTACTCACCGGCATGCATTCTCGTTTCAGTTCACACATCCTATATGCACGATTTACAAGTTTAACGTTTAATTTTATTGTAGTTACCTAGTAAGATCCAAAGAGCGAGCAATCCTACTAAGCTCAAGCTGCCAAGCATGGAAAAGATCAACTGAATCAGACTCCTTGTCACTTCCGTAAGCACTACTCTGAAAGCAGACATCTGCCGCCATATGTTCTTTTCCTTTGCCCCGCATGATTCTTACAGCATATAGGATGATAATTACTCCACGGCAGGCACGGCAGGTCCAACTAGGACACACGAATCCAAAGTCAACGTGCTACCGTTGATATAATACGCGGCCGGCGTGCAGAGGTATAGACAGGCAGATGCTACCTCGTAGGGTGCAATCAGACGCCCGGCAGCAGGTAGCTGCTCGATGAGACCTCGCAATTGGGGGATTCGGTTGTACTCCTCGTGGGACATGGGGGTGTCAACCCATGAAGGGCAGACCTGATTACACCGAATGCCGATTGCCTTGTAGTCAACAGCTAATCGTCTTGTCAGCAACATGTACGATAGCAGCACCAATCATCATTCTACGTACCGCAAGCTCGGGTAAGTCCCCCGACGGCGTGCTTGGAGGTAATGTAAGCCACCTTGTTGGGCAGGGCGCTAATTCCCAGGATAGAAGAAATGTTGACGATCGATCCACGGCCGAGGTCCTTAACGCCGTGACGTCCTAGTTCAATTTTGGCAGAGTCTTGAGCCTTCATGACCTTAGCAACGGATTGAGTGACGTATAATATGCTCTTAGCGTTGATGTCGAACACGCGATCAAAATCGGCAACGTCTGCTTGGTCAAACGGAACGTTTCTGCGGCCGTCGACCTAGCCATTGATACTCGTCAATATACTACTTTACGTATGGGTATCATCAGAAACTTACACCGGCGGCGTTGACGACGTAGTCAATCCTGCCAAACTCCTTGACTGCAACGTCGACCATCTCTTGCACTGACTTGGCGTCTGTCACGTTCACCTTCACAGCCACTGCTTTGTAGTCCTTAGCTAGAGCTACTTTTTTGCTGCTCTCGGCAGCTTTGGCGGCTCCTTCATAGTTGATATCGGCGAAGAGAACACCCCTTGAGCCTGCCTCAGCAAATGTGGCACCAAGCTCTGTACCAATACCACCACCAGCCTATTCAAAGGGGGGTCAGCACTAACTTATAGAGTTCTTCTGTTTGGATAAAACGTACACCAACTAAGATGGTGTAACCGCTAACTTGAAAAGCTGCCATTGCGGATGAAGATATAAGCAAAAGTGAAGCCCTACTAGGAACTGAAATATAGCAAATATAGCTTGGTGTTCGTGATGTCTAAGAGAACTCGCTTGTGTAAGTAGTAAGTAGCTACAGGAGAGACGATGAAGAGAGAATCTACACGTTTAAATACTTCTTTGTCTATAGCAACACCTCTGCCCAGAAGTCAGCAGTCACCTCTACGTGTCTCGGCATGATACACAAACCGCATTGTGACGCGGGGAGAACGGACGCTTCTTACAACATTTCAACATACTAGTGACGTATAGTCTGCTAGTTACGTTGCTAAACTCCAAAGAAAACCACCATTATCATGCCCAATTCGGCGATGTAGTAGTAACGCCGATAGGATCCCAAGGGACGGACTACACGTGTCAGCCCGAACCAAAGAAACCGTGTAGGGCTAGAACCGGAATGCTACTCTTCGTCAGATCCGGTAATCTAATGCTTGCCATAGTATACGCCTAATGTGAGTTATGACGAGCCTCGAGCTCAGGTTGTAGTTATTGAAGGTTCTTACGAATCTATCCCAAGTGATATTTTTATCGCAAGGCTGATGATGGGTTGTTCTAGCAATAGCCTCGAAGTCTTGGATGACGTTCGGTTTGGTAGGTATATGGGTCTCTTAGTACGTTCTTCCTAGTGCCCGAGCGTTAAGTCCTACTGCTTGTGAACGTGCGACATTTTTTCAGGGATGTCTTTCTGTAATATGACAGGTCGATTTATTATCCAGGGCTGGCGTGCATACATTATGTATGTATGACACTTCTGGATTGCCTACCTCGTCTCTTGCTAGCGTGTTACCACTTTACACCTAGATGGCTTTATTCAAAAGATATGATTCGGCCATCGTCAATATCTAAAGTATAACAGTGCAGTAGTCACTGTTTCACCGCTTCCTTACAGACAGTTCCCATGTATGTATGTTGGAGTATTAGGCATGGCTCGAATACGTACCTAATGCAGCGTTGACCGCCACTTGCATGTTGTGTAAGCCGCAGTTCTTGTATTCGCGTGGGGAGGCTTATTTCTCGGTCTGCTCGTTTCGTACATGATAAAGGCCTTATGTATGTATACCCGGAAAAGTATCCATTGTTAAGAGGTCCAAGCTTAAGGCTAGACTATTGCTGTCAACCGAAGCTTAGATGGGGTTTTCTTTACGAAATCGATTTCTTCTACATAATATAAAGATAAACGTGTTAAGCGAGTCAAGAATAAACACTGAGATATAAACGGGGTAGCATCTAAGTGACATGATGCTATGTTACAATGTGTAAGCAGCTTACGTTTTTTCCATTATTATAAGTCATCACATCAGTTAACTACATTTCATTTCCAGAGTAAATAGGAAGAGCTCTTATTCGCTTTAAATAGAATACTTAATAATTTTGGATTGGAGAACTAGGAGAGCTACTACCACGTTAGGCTCTCAATCCGACCAACTACCAAATAATAGTAGATTAGTTCACTACCCGAAAGCCATTGACATTCTTATAACCAAGTAGAAGGGTAATACACGTATAGAATCACAGGTTTAGGCTCACTATCGGGATATTATTCAAGCTTTTTTGTGCTATCTCGTAGCATGAAGCAGCTAGTGTGGTTGTTCATACATTTGTCTATAACCGCAGCTTGCGATATTAATGTCCGAACGCCACGGCTATGGAAGATGGTTACCATTGAACAGGAGTTGGTATCTCCTGCAGAGTATGGCATATCACTTCAACGTCTAGATCCTCGTAAGAGGCCCTAAACAGCTGATAATAGCACTATACTCTGAAAAAACTGTAAAGATCTACTGATCGGATAGGATATATAAGATAAATACGCAAGATAGGGCCATAAGCTATAAATGTGGGAAAGTAACGAATGTGTCTATATTGAATGCATAACTAAATGATAATGATCGTGGCTAACTAATCAGAAGAATACGACGAATATTAGACCTTTATATGGCCTGTGACCTAAGATTACATAATGATATCCTTGCTCTTGGCGTTGTGGCACCACACCAGTTCACCATCCAAAGTCCGCGAAGACAGTGATGAGAGTAGATACCTGATAGATTACTGTAACCCAAAATTAGACGCCCACCTATTCCATTCGTCAATTTCGACTTATCACAATATAAATTTTTATGTGTTGCTACCAGCCTTTTGCCCTTCTACTTAGGTACTCATCTTCTAGGATAGGTGAATAGTTGGTCGACTGTCTTAGAGGGTGGTATATAACTCATTAAAGTACTGAGACATCAAGTACCGACATATGACATGCAGTTATTATATGCGGTTCCCAGATCGTGGTGCCGCTTCTCCAATCTCCCATGCAACTCATCATCCGACACAATGCGTAGACTGACGAAGTCGTTAGCTATGAAGCTCAATTGATACAATAGAGTGCCATTTGATCACTCACTCCAACACAAGCTGCATAGCGTACTAACGTATCAGGGAAAGCTGTATTATTGGGGCTAGGCCAAGGCGTACGAAGGCACAACTCGGTTTGAGCAGGATCGGACTGCACAAGATCGATTTGGTCAGAACGGGAGGATGAACAAGGTGCTTATCTTAGATGAGAAGACTCACTTGTTTACATGCCTGTTTGATGCAGTTACATGCGCATTGGGGACGGTAGAAGGGATCAAGAACCTAAGGATCGTCGCCGTCGATTAAGACACAGACGTTGCTCGGAGATTTCCCGATCAGTGGGTTCACAGACCGACCGATTGGACCAGAGATCACGCAAGCCGCCAGTACCAAGGCGCTCGATATTTGATGCAGATACATCTTGGGGTCTGGGAATAAAAAGAATGACGTATTATGTAGCGAGCCGCGCCGGGAAATAGATGAGGACAAACAACTTCTATCCAAGGTCTTGGTAAAAAAGGAACAGAGCCAGGTGACAGTATTTTATTCTAATGTTCTACTTGTATAATAAAAGTGTTACTATTGAGCTGCCATTCTCGGATATCGGTATAGACCCGCGAATTTTGGATGTGGTGCCGAATATTGCGCCGAACATCGTGTAAGCAATTTCCCTAGGGCACATAAAATTACCTTATCTCCAAGTCTTCCCCAGATATTATGCGCGTGCCGTAGAATTGCATTTAGCCACGAGTCGAAGGTTATCGAACATGAAATGGGATTGACTAATATCAGCACTCAATACTACCACGGAGTTCTCCGCAGAGTCCTAGGGAAAGCCTAGAACACAGGCACAGTTTGCTGCCTGGATCCAACGGCATGATGATATCCCTATTCTCATCCAAAAATAGCAGTTGCTCTGCTTACCCCATATAGTCAGCATTGGCTAGGTGGTATTCAATATGAAATTCGGAATTATATCTATATTTTGTTAATATAGAAGCATAGTTGAATGGTGGTGCCCAAATATAGAGGGCACCATTGGACTTCTGGATAGAATTCTATACCGAAATAAGATGATAGTTTGTTAAAACGTGGATGGTCTTAAGAACGGTAGCAGATATATTAGTAAGAGAAGTCAAGCAGAATAGGGGTTGGAGGCACGTACAAGATTATTAGGTAGTCACGATGACTCGAAGGTCATTATACCATTCCTATTTGCGTGTTAGTAAGTTGGAATAGAAGGAACATGAAGCACTTCTGCTTAGTTGGAAAAGGGTCAAAGGTATATTAGAGACGTAGTATTAGAAGAAAGTCAATCCAGACGATGTATGATGTATCACCAGAAGTGGGAAATGGAGCTGTTCCCGTCGCAAACTAAATTTCTCGGGTTAGTTCACACGGTTCTATGAGGATCGCTGAACAACAACTTACCATGTTGGCAACATCATGCGGCCGATCAAAACCGTCGAGTGAGTCACCTTTAGATTCTAGCCCAACAAAAGCCGTACTTGCTTCATGTACTACGGATCCTTAGAATCATCCAGTCGTGTTTGAGTGACATACTAAAGATAAGTTAGTCCCGGGGGTCTTTTAGCTGCTCGTATGTTGCCGCTGCTGTATAGTCTGGGCATTCCCCCCTATTATATACCTATATGCATATTCTTGAAGATGATCTCTCGGTCAGGGGTTCAGGGGTCGGATTGAACTATTTGACCAATAAGATGAAAGATAAGGTTGGCCAATCATTGCTTGGTCATATTCCCAAGAAGGCGGGGGCTTATGTAATGCGCATGGCGGGGTGGACATGCATATTAGTGTAACTATGAGTTAAAGCCTCTAGCTTAGAGGTAAAATTAATTTAAGCTTAGCAATAAGAGCCTCATCAGCATCCAGCATCCAGCATCCAATCCATCATCATTAATAATTCAATCTAGGTTACTCGATTATTACATAATGTCCACCTACGGACGTGCGCTTCGATGTTGAAGGGCTGAGACCTCTTCTTGGAATCAATTGTCGGCATAATGCAACCACCACGCATTCTAATCCGCCGCCTCCTCACCCTCCGTGCCTCGAAATTTCCTCCCACATCTCGCCGATTTACGAGACATACGAACCTCACGTCCCGGGGTCGACCTCAAATTCCGTTCCTGTCGGTGCCACTAGCTAGGAATCATCAATTCCGATACCTCACCACCGAGCGAAAACGATGGTTGGCCTATGAGGTTTTTCTCGGATTCAAGTATACTATATATATCTGGGCTATCGCTGGCTTCTCTATCGCTGGCTACTGGAGCATACAGCAGGAGTGGCTTGAGAGGAAATACCCAACGCCGCACGAGTGGAACTTCATAACTCGGCTGCGATTCAGACTTGCGAAATGGGCCCCCGACCGAACGGATTCGCCCGAAATCGACTGGGTCCTTACTGGAAACTATGCTAAAAACGTAATCGAAAGATTAGAAGATGAGAAGGTCGAAGGCGCCGGCCTTGCGCAGAACCAAGCCGAAGGCGGAGGGTATGATATAACATCTAAGAGCGAGCCATGGAGGAGGGGCTATTACGAGGCCTTGATGCTGTGTGCCAAGGCGGCCGAGCATCTCGATGATCAGATCGTAGATAAGACGCGGCGCTTAGTGTTCCCGGCCAACCAGGTCATAGGGCCATCAAACCCGAGCCCGAAGCCTATTTCGCCCGGTTCACCAAGCGCGCCTCGCGAAGAGGATTGCGAGCGTGCCTTCGAAGCACCCGAAACTTTCTACAAGAAAATACTGGCGACCAAAGGTTTCACATCCAAGCAGAAGTTGGATGCGGCGCTGGAGTACGCCTCGTGGTTGGACTTCAAGGATCTCTCCGACGCCTCCGAGCTCACATACGAATGGGCACTGGCATTAGCTACAGAAAGTTCCCCCCCTCCATACGACCCGAAGTCGTACGTCCTACAGGACCTCTCGCGCCAACCCTCCGCCAATCTCCTCGCCACCCTCACCGCTCTCGCCACACACAAGGCGCGCACAGGCGACATCGCCACAGCCCTCCCAATCCTAATCTCCGTCCTCCGCGCACGCAGATCCCTCCCGCGTCCGCAGCCCCAAAAGAAACCCGCATACATCAACCCCGACGAAACCCAGTCCGCCTCCCCCTGGACCCTGCACAACATCGCCGGCGCCGCCACCCGCCTCCTCTCACCCCCCGCATACCCGCCCCCCCCAGACGACGGCACATCCCCCCCAACCCGGGACGCGAAGGAGCTGTGCGAGGAAGCCGGCCTGAACCTGTACATCGGCGAGATCATCTACGCCTCGTCCTCTGGTACTAGCAAGGGCCGCGAAGACGGCCTGGCCTGGACGCGCGAAGCCGTCGACCTGGCAGAGGAGCAACTGCACAGGCTAAACAGTAGCGGCGACGCCCGCGACGACGCTAAGAAGACGTGCAAGGAATGCCTGCTCGCCGGCCTCGATAACTGGCAGGCCATGGTGGCGCGGCTGGCGCGCGAGGAGCGCGAGAGGGACGCTTTGCCGGGGAACGGGGAGCCGGCGAAGCCGAGTAGTGGCTGGTTGGCAAGTCTATGGGGAGATGGCAAGGCTGGGACCGCAGCGGGAGGACGATGGACTGCAGAGGAGAATGTGGTAAAGGAGAGGATGAGGAGAGCACAGGATGTACTGGAGGAATCGGAAGCGCCTAAGGCCGGGTTTGGTGCTTTGTTCCAGGCGTGATGTGATCTGCCATGTGCGTATGTTGTTACGATATGTAGGTAAGTACCTAGGGGATAAATGGTAAAAAGGACTCTTGGGGGCGTTTGTCTAGGCCAACGCTGTGTATGCTATTATAAGAACATGTAATACGTCTTCTGTCTCGCCGCGCCTGTCTTATTCAATCGATTGGGTTATTTGTACGGCTCCCCGTAGTATATACTCAGCATGAATAGTTTGTATATTTTCAACAATGGGATGAATAATTCAGTATACTGCATATATACCTAGGCAGCTTTGATTTGTGCTTTTATTCTTAGCATAATAGACGAGGTTTGAGAGGTGTCAATTGCCGTATCCACTTGGTATCAGCCTATATGAGGTATCTAGAATACAATCGCAATCCATCTGGCAAAGCTTGAGGGTAATATTCGTTTGCTCCTTGATTCATTACGCCGTCAAGAACCTTACTTCTCGTCAATACTGGGCGTAAATAATAAGGCCGGCCTAGTTCGTATCCTCAGCCTGTCCGGTCTTCACGTTTTCCTTCTTGGTCTGCTCATTATACTCATCATGTTGCAACATAACAAGGCTTGGCTTCTCGCCCTGTGGGTTGCTCGTTTCGTCGTGGACCTGTTCGTTACACATCTTACCATGCTCATCCTTCTGACCAACTATCTCTTCATTCTGCCATGAGCTCCAATCGGGCTCGTCGGTATCGAATACAGGGTCGGCAAAATCAACGTGAAAGTATGGGTTGGTGTAATCCTCGCCCTCCGGTGTCATAGCCACTTCCTGCAGCCAGTCGAGGATAACCTCCGAGCCGGTAATAAGCGCCGTCTCTGTGTAATTTGGCTCCCCACTGCTGAAGACAGGACAGCCCATCTGCGTGAAAGTCGTAGTCTTTGGGTTACCTTCGGGGCCTGAAATAACCATACCAACTGGCTCAACGGAGGTTATGTATGCACGAGCTTTCTTATATCAAACATACAAATTAGCTCTATAAAATCCGAGAACCAATAAGGGAGTGAAATGTAGAATAAAAAAGTAGAAATACGGGTAATCTTGAATAAAGACTCACATTTCTCAAGAACACGTTCACGAATTCGTCGTTCTTCAAATCCCAAACCGGATACAAACCACCAACAATTGCAAGGCAGTTGATGCGGTTCTTCCAGGTATTCCACATAAGGGGTAAGTCCAAGAACTCCTCAACATAGTCAGCACTGCCACCCAGTGTTATGATGTCGATTTTGGAATTATCCTTGGTGAAGTGTGGGATCACCTCCTGGAAGATATGGCCAACGTGCATTCTCGCGGTCGAGTTCTTCTCGACCATGTTGCCCTTTTCAACTACGTTGGTATAGTGTACAGCACTCTGCATTGGTGCTGCAGCAAAAGCGCTGCGACTGAGGGTACGCTTCCCCTCTGGATACCAAATTAGCTCGCCCATATTGGCAAGGATGATTCCTGGAGGGGTCGAGTTGGAGGGCGAGGAGCATTGTTTCTGGAGAGCAGAGACAATAGATATCATAGAGCCTTTGTTTATACCACCGCGGCCACCAATGATGCGATGCGCAAGCACACCAAGGTCCTGTACAGTCTCGCCGAAGATAACAACGACACGCGACTTGGTAGCAATGTCACCACTGACGAAGATAGGAACGTGTGGCTTGCTTGTGTCGAAAGTACCCAAGGGCAATAACTCTTTCTTCAGACCTAGTTTCTCTAGACGCTCCCAAATCACATATTGTAGGGCCTCTGCATTCCCATTTGAATTAGCTAAAGTCTAGCTCATCATAAAGATTCAAGAAGGGAAAGAAAGCTAAGAAAGCTAAGAAAGCTTGCTCACGGTTCATAGCATAGCGCTGACGCTCATTCCATCGGGTATTGCGGTTGAAGAAGAAGTGGAAGTAGTTATCCGGGTTATCGATGGCGCGGACTTCGTCATCTTCATTGATAAAGTAGCTAGGGGAAATGTCCTGTTAGCAAAGCTGCTGTTTTGTTGAGATAGGAAACCAGAGTATCACTTACCCAAGCTTAGACAGGTCAACGTGAAAGTCAGGATCTGCTGGCAGACCTGACCACTTTCGTCGGAACATTGTGACAACCTGATTGTTGATGGAAGGGATCAGACGCGTTTGATTAATAAAGAAGATATAGAAGTCCCGAAGTAGGTAAACCAGTATAAACCAACTAGAATGGCATACCGATAAGTACAGAACTTGAGCCTTCCAGTGCAAGTTTTGATTAAGGATAGTTATATGAAAGGGATGTCACACCTAAGTGAGCAATAGGTGACTTACGAATGTTTGGTTTATCAACCCTACCTACCTATCCTCTAGCAGGATGTAGTAGAGGAAAATCGTGGCTGTAGTGCCTGCCTATGTGGTGTGTTTAAGGTACAAGCAAAGGTAAGCGGTAGCAGCACGGCCGTCAAATGAATTTATTTAAAGGTTACCGTTTGCATGTTTGCATACGAGGGAAGCTGCAGGCCCGGTTCCGTGCTATTAACACAACTAAGTAGATGTAGTGCTCTTGCTTCATTTAAAATGTTAAGACACCATCCACCATCCACCGTCCACCATCCGCCATCTACGTCCCTTCCTGTAAAATCTTATCCCGGACAGGAAGGACCTATGTAGATGCCTAACCACGTAAGTACATGTAAAATCCCATAGATGGACACTTCCAGTAGGTACCTTCAATGTAAGAAGCTGAGTACATTATATACCTAAGGGCACCTAAAGTGATCATGGGAGTTTTCGCTTCTTAAATACCTAGGTACCTAATATATGGGCCACTGGTGACCTTACAGCGCTCATCCGACTGTAGCATCGCAAAGGTATCAATATACATATCATAGGTACCGCAAGCATGAGCCGTGAGCCAGTAACAGCGGTCATATCTTATTAGCATCACTCGTGCCCGACTTCACCAGCTAGCCTTCTTCACGCCTGGGATATTTCCTGCTAAAGCTTGCATCCTGAAGTTATACTGTGCAAAGGAATTAGCACTTTTCAATCCCTATTCGAATGCATAAACCGGCTTACTCTTGACATTTTGAAGTCGCGCAATATACCTCTTCCCTTACCACCTAATATACATCGTCCACGGATTTGTGTTGGTCGCGTATAGCAGTGCATCTGCGTAAGCTGTAGCTGGGCTTCGGCTCGGGCCCTGGGGGGCAGAGTGGTATTTCGGATGATGTATCGTAGAGCTTGTCTATTCAATTGCACAATTGCTGTTAGTATCGCCAAGTTGAAGTAGTCGGGTTTGTTCATTGGCGCACCTCTCGGGCTCGAATTGTGCATAGGCCTTCCTCTTGGAATGATCTCGGATCGTCTTGATGTTGACGAAGCAGCCAATATCAAGCTTCTTAGCCCGGAACATAGACATCTTGACGGTATTGGCGATAGTTGGGTCCCTCGTATCGTGGACCAGCTCGAACTACAGAGTTTTGAAGTCGTTATTCAATTTGCGCATTGGTTTCTGCAAGGCGCAGATCGGTTGGTAACGGTCCAATTAGATTATTTTACACCTGCAAGAAGCTGACACCGGCCCGCTATGTACATAGACATTTAATTAGGTACATTTACGTAAGGAAAGATAAGCGGGTCAATCTCTCCGAAGGGGTCCATTTATTTAGGGGTACCGTTGTACCTATATTAAGTACCTACCTACCTTAGTAACCTACCTCAGGTCCTACGCCCGTCACGTCAGCCCCGTAGCCTCAGAAATCAATATGGATCATCTATGACGTCGAAGTACATCACAACTGCAAGCAGCCTTCTCCATGGCAATGCTTGTCAACGCCATAACAGAATTTTCGTATTGTGTCATCCTAGATAATCATATGTAGACAATATCGATAAGGTGATCTAGCACCTAATGACGTAGGTAATAGTAGCAAGGCACATGGAAAGACTCTTATAAAAGCTCAACCCAAGTTATCTAGCTAGCAGATCTCAGGCTTTCGTAGTTCATACTCATTCAATTTTACAACGTCTCGCAAAGTTACTCTATCAAAGAATTCAAACTATACTCTCTATATACTTAGTATCCTATATTACACATATTCAACATGTCTGGTCACTCCAATGTTGGTCAAAGCTCCGTCTATGAGAGCGGCGACCAAAGGAACCTGAAGGACTCAGAGATTCCAGACCGTCCCCGATTTGAAGAGGGTGTAGAGAATTCGCATCTACCTAACAATTCTAGTGAGCTTTGCCCCCATGTTTTAAAGACTATATTTAAGAACATCCTCTAACATTTCTCGCAGAGGACCAGCGATCCATTGCCAACCGTTTAGCTAATGAAGAGGTATTTCCTTACGACTATTCCTATGAGGAGTAGAGGATAGAGCTAATGACCTGCAGCGCAAGTTAAACCGTGACGAGCAAGAGGACCCAGAGACCAAGGCTTCCAAGAAAGACCCGACATTGCCTGTAAGTCAAATTAATTATCCCATGATGAGATTACCCACTAATTCTATTACAGGCCAAGCTACACGGCAACGAACCCTCTAAAGGCGCCAAGATCGATGCGAATATACAAGCAGAAGAAGAAGAATATTTGAAGCAGAAGGGCAAGAAATAAATCTTGATACATCTATATTGTCCAGAATCTGAACATGCTAGGAATGTCCTAGTATAAGTGCTCGCTTTGTAGCATCAATGAATAATAATAAAACGCGAGGTTCTCCAATAATTTATCTATCAGTAAAATCTACCGTGAAGATAACAACCATGTTGCGAGTCAAATCCGTACTATTCAACACATTTCACAGCTTCGCCCCCAAAGCTCTTCTCTTCTCTCTTTCCCGATCTTTCAAGAGTCTCCTCAAGATCTTCCCGCTTGGGCTCTTGGGTATCGCATCGACGAATTCAACTCCGCCCTTCAACCACTTATACCTGGCCTTGTGCTCCTCAACCCACTTGTTAATTTCCCGGATAACGTCTTCATCCGGCCTCAATGCTGCCGAGGCGGATTTCACGACAAAAGCCTTCGGTACCTCTCCGGATGCTTCGTCCGGTATTGGAATGACCGTGCAATCATTAACGTCCGGGTGGCTGAGGAGGTGAGCTTCCAGCTCTGCTGGCGCGACTTGATGGCCCTGAGTTGATTTTTTTAGTAAATTAAAGAGCATAAGAAACATATAGATAGTATCTCACCTTGACTTTGATCAACTCCTTCAACCGATCCACAACAGCAAAGTGCTCGTGCCCAGCTGGTGACTTCCGAACAACTGCCACATCTCCTGTCCGTATCCAGCGGCCATCGTCGTCCCACACGTAAGCCTCGGCGGTTGCCTTTTCGTTGTTCAAATAACCCAGTGTGACTGAGGGTGACTGGACCCAAAGTTCGCCACGCTTTTCATACTCCGTGATCTCCTTGCCATCTTCGCCTATTAACTTAGCCCGGGAAGCGGGCGCAAGAGATCCCGATGTCCCAATCATCACGTCGTTCTCACCCGTGCTAGTCACAACTGTACTTGTTTCTGTCATACCGTAGCCCTGACCGACATTTAGAAACGGGAAGGCCTTCACCATATCCTCGTGCGTTTCGGCGCCAAGCGGTGCGGCCCCTGTGTACACCATCCGGACGCTAGATAAGTCGTATTTGGCACACAACTCCATATTCCGCAACATTTGAATGACGATAGGAGGGACCTATACAACATAGTTAGAATCTGACCACAAGACCGAGTGCATATGACTCTTACAATATGCATAAAATTGATCTTGTATCTCTGGATAGTTTCCAGCAAGGTCTTTAGCTCAAACTTCGGTAAGATTATTACGGAATCTCCTCGATACGTCCCCGCCTGTGCAACTACTACCAGCCCATAGATATGGCTTAGTGGTAAAAGACCAAGCTGGACTTGGGTTTCGATGCCTTTGGCCTTTCTACCTGGATCCTCATGGCATCGGAACTGCATCACATTCGCAATGACATTTCGGTGTGCGATCATCACGGCTTTCTATCCTAGAGGTTTAGTAAATAATTACCTGAGAAGAGGGCGGATAAACTGACGGGGAGACCTGAAGTGCCGCTAGAATAGCACAGGTACGCGACTTGTCGAGCGCCCTGCCCCTTCGCCCAGACTAACGGCTCGACTTCCGCCAAAGACCGACCTTCGTCGATGAGGCTATCGAGACTCTGGAAAGGAGCAGGTTTGAATTCCCCGGGTATTCGCATAATGAATACTTTGTCGTCTGGGATACCACATGCTCTCGTCGCCTTCAATGCTGTATCTAGTAGTGGGATGCACGTGATTAAAGCTTTGGCACCAGCTGACTTGAGCTGATGTTCAAGCTCGGCTGCTGAATACATAGCATTTGCTGGCGTTACAATGCCCGAGAGGCGGTGTACCGCGAAGGTAGACATCATGTAGTCGATCTATAATGTCGGTCAACGTCCGTATCCCCATCACCATCATAAAGAATAGTTGAACTACCTACCGAGTTGAAAGAAAAAACGCTAACGACCTTATCCCAGGGCGTCTCTTCGTTCGGTCTCCAGCCCATACGCTTTGCTAGTGATCGCGCTAGCAGCTCGTAGCGCTCGGTCATCTCAGCGGTCGTATATGTCTTCCCCGTAATCCCGCAGGTGTAGGGATTCCGCGACCTCGCGAGCGGTTGCCTCCCATACTTCTCACTGCTCCAGAACTCATGAAGCGGAATTGAGTCCGGGGGGTCTAAATGCTTTTATAAATACTATTATTCTCCTATGAGGAAGAAGCAAAGCTGATGACATACCAAAGGGTAACTGAGGCACCCAAGCCGGTGGAGTAAACACCATCTTGCTACAAATTGCTCGTTGGAGTGCTTAACCACGTTTCTACGTGTTGAAGTTCTACGTGTTGAAGTTCCACGTGTTGAAGAAGTTGGGTGAAGCTTGCAAGATTAAGGGAAGGTCGTGGGTATACAGTTTCTTGAAAACAAAGAAGTACTAGCTTTGAGAGTGTCACAAAGGGAGGCTGACTTTACAAAGAAATGTGTAGCTAGCCTCGGCCAGCATCGGGGGATTCGATCGGTGGCTAGATACGACTTTAGATGCCGAAGAACTGACCTATAAAGTAACGTTTATTTATTCCCGTTGAGCCAAACTCCGCGATCCCCACAGCGTCCCATGTTGATGACCCCCCCGCATGATCAATTTAGTATCCCCGAGTGGAGAACTCGCGGTGAATTAGCCGGGGTAAGAGCACATACATATAGGTATTACCTAAGGTACCAGGTTAAGTCAGGTACCCCTGAATGATCCCAGATAATCCGATCTCCAGAACCTTTTATCGTTCTATTTAAACGTCCAATCGGTTTCCTGCCAATTATTCAGGTCTCCCGTACTACACGTATGTATAACGTCTCCCTATTTTTTATATTAGATGTACACAGTGATTATGTAGAAGGTACCTAAGCCCATTGAATGCTACGTACATGTATGTATGTACCCGATATAGGACCTCGGAGTCGGTCGGTTGAGGCAAGGTACCCACACGCTTACCGGGGCAGCTTGGGCCCAGAAAAACGGCTAGAAAAGCGGCTAGAATCACGGCTGCACAACGGGGGGGTTTCTTGGCATTTGCGTCCCTACATCAGGAACCTTAACCAATAGGATTCTTTCTTGGGGTCAATTTGCAAAGCCACGATAATATTGTTGAGGAACGTAAGCCACGAAACCCCATGTCTCGCCCCTATCTGCACCTACAGGTTGCGACTTGAGCCTCCCTTCTCGTTGTGTAAGGCTGAAACTTGCTTCAATATGTAACAGTATTCATACAATCCTACATATTTTTTCTTTTCCTCAAAGAGGGTTTGGAATGGAGTAGAAATTATTGTGGTCTAAACCCGATAACAATTACCTTTTATCACTACCTACCTTAAGTAGATAAACACGCGACTTCACGCGTCGCGACTTCAGCAACAACGCAACAGACTTTACAAATACCTCTAGAATATAAGAGCATGTTACCAAATATTACCAAAGAGAATATACCAAGAGTTCTCTATCATCGGAGCATTATTGCTTATCATTCATGTATATTTTCAATACATTTTCATCAAGGCCAACCGCAACTACCTAAACTTTGATATCAAAACAGGCATGATCCGGACAAGCGATGCTGCTTCCCAAAACTGTGAGCAATTATGTAAATAGGTAGGTATTCAAGAATCAGGGTTTGCAGCTAAGCTTTCTTCGTACATGTAAGTACCTAGGTAGCGAATGTTTGGCATCTTAGTCACTCCCAAAGCATGGTTACAAAAAGGATCAGCTTGCTAGCATGGCCATAGGTGCCAAAGCAGGAGTTTGTAGTCGGTGCAAGCATGTATGTGACCACTCAGAGTCATACTATCACGGCTATATGGTCATATAAAGACCTCTAATGCACCCTCTGACATGACAAGATTATCCACCAAATCACTTAGACAGTATTCCAATATATATCTCTATATATGGCTGTTAGTTCAACAGACATTTAATGTCTGTGTTTTATTATGTACAAAATTCAAATTATATGTAATAGAGCTATTTTCATTCTTAAAGCCAATGTCTAATAGCACAATTGTCTTCTTGGGGCCATAATAATTAGCACTTACCCATTTCAAAATAATGCAGCTCGCTATTTCCATAGAAAGTACTTGACATTACCTAACTTGGACAAGCGAGCATGTTTATTACAGGACTATAGTGCGTTCCTTCCTACGACGGGTCGACGTTGCCCTAGATGTAGTTCTCTCCCCTATCTATTCCTAAATAGGACCTGCTTCGCTAATCGTTAATCGTAAACACAAAACATCCACCAACATTCACCACCTTCAATCAAAAATTCACCAATATTCAGCTTGTTCTTCTCACTATTTCTCATTATTCCAAACCGCGTATTAAAACCCATTCTAGAATCTTGACTACCAATCAGTCTAAGTGGTCATCATTCATTCTCGTGTTATTATTCTCTCCCCTTTGAGTCAATCCATCTCCAACCCTCGTGACTGTGTCGCCTAATCCTCTGCATGGTAAACATCCTCTACCTGCGACAAAGGTGTATCATCTTCCGTGCAATACAGGCCATCAATCCTCACAAGGGCAGTCCTACACTCCTCTCTTCTGCTCTACCTTTACTGCTGCCAATCCAGCAATACCAGCGCCACGGCACAGGACACCTTTCAATCATTTTCAGTGCCCTCATAACTACAGCAACACTTCCTGGACCAACCCTAAACTATCTAGGTTTGATACTGCTTCCTTGATAGTATCATCCAGGAGTCAAAGTAGGATTTTGTAGCCTCTGTCTTGCAAAATTCGGTAAGTCTCTACCCAGTACGAATCTCCCTGAAGACCTAGCATTTCCACTTCTATGCTCCCATTTGCGCTTTCCTTCCCACTTAAGACACATATTTCATGAGCACGCTACTTCTCTATTTACATGATGGAGAAAACATCATTCCTAGTCTTGTCAATACATCTCAGTGGCACCTTGCCGCACTTGTCGCATTCAAAGGACGGGCGTTGTCAATAGCCTTTTGACCTAGCATGCCACCTACTACACATTCTCCACTATCTATTATACTATCCTCTGTTCTCCTATGAACCTTGCAACTTCATATGTTAGCAAGCCATATACTGGCGCTATTAAGAAATAGTACCTTCATGATGATACATCTTATCCATCAACCCTATACACCCTGGCACTCAGACCTTGATCAACTCACTCTCTACCTATATAATATCTTAGATCGTGAATTAACTCCAATTAGGTATTCTCTGGCACACCTAGTCTTTAAGTCTTATTACTAGCGCTGCCAAGAGACAGAAGGTCCTGGAAGCCTTCAGTATAGTCTTCAGTGGTCTATTGTATAGCGTATTGAGAAAAGATAGCCGGATCCTTCAAAAAGACTATAGCACAAGCTATGTCATTTACTATGGAGAAGATAATCGCCGACCCTACACCAGTGGACGATGCTATAGGTATTGCTGAACATAGTCCGGTGAAGCGTTCTTTGAAGCGAAAGTATGAGGAACTAGAAGAAGACGAGAATACGTCCGAAGTCTTCCAGACCCTCGATCAAGTTAAATCCGACCGAGTGACCCGAAGTCGAGTAAAATCTACCAAGCGAGAGACCGCTTCCAACACTGTCACCAGTACATCTATCGACCCTGCCGAGGCACATGCGAACAAGCCAGAACCGCATGGTCAGCCATTGGCCTGGGCTGACAAGAGAGCAGCCCTAAATGATGCACTGCCATATTTCAAATCGCATCAAGGCGGCGTGTATTCAGCGGGGCTAATGCCCAAAGGCATGCTCATAGATGGAATTGTAGGGACGCGTGATCATTTTTCTAGTCAGGTTATAGTTACTTCAATGTAAGTTTCAATACAATTCACTGCGCCTGAAACAAACTAATGTAAGAAATAGTGGTGGTGGCCGAGTTCTAGATCCGGTTACCAAGAAGATGATCAGGATCGAAGATCAAGGGGATGATGGCAAGAATTATAAGGCTTTGATGCGGGCTTGGGAAGCAAAGCACCCCTTCGTGATGGTAGCTGGTAAGTTCTACAATGCATGTATCTCCCTTGTTAGAAGATAGATTCTAATGGGATTTAGGAGCGCGCAACACTATGTTCCCGGTCAAACCTCCCCATTCCTATAATGTTCTTGACTATTTTCATATTACAGATATCTGGCAAGAAAAAACCAAGGAGCCCCAGAGACAAGCGGTGATGATTTATATGGTCCGCTTGGAAAAGGTCAACTTGACTAACAGATCTTGGTGGGCTCCAAGAGATGTTAGTGGTCCCGAAGCGGGTGAATTTGGGGTTGGTGAATACTCCTGCACATCTATCGTTTGCACGACTTGCCAAAACCCGAGCAAGGAGATTTTCGAGCAAGGTTGGACCTGTCTTAACAGCCAATGCGGGAGATTCTTTGAGTTTGCTACCACATTGGACTTCAACGAGCTGAAGTATAACAACGCCTTCTTACGAGAGAGATCCAAGTACAGCGGTATTCCGATCGAGAATGATCTCATTCCTGCGCTACCCTCTGATGGAGAAAACACTTTTGGCAGCGAAAAGGAGTATAAACAAGGAATCCTTTGTCCTAAGTGCGGCTGTTGCAGCAGGAGAATAAAGTGGGATGGCTGGTATTGCGAGAATGCAGAATGTGATTTCACACATACAGTCCCCATCAAAATGACTCCCCTCGATCGTATCAAGAGTGAGAACAAGAATGCGAAGAGCAAAAAGAATATTCCTATAACCCATTGCGACCCTTGTGTTGAAGTTCACAAGACGACTATAGGAGGACAGAAGCTTAAGACTTTTTTCCTCCTAAATGAGAATGGTGGTCATTGTATTGGGACTATCACCCGCATTAGGCCGACAGAAGAGGCCATTTCAAGAGAAGGTGGCCTTAACGACCTATATTTACATTTGCAAAAGGAAGACCTAAAACTAGAGAGAAGACCAGCAAAGAATCCTGGTAAGTGGATGTGAAGCTCTATTTAGGCTGACCAATACTGATTACCATAGGCTGTCGAGTTGAAGAGTTGACCTCCCACTTCTCTGGGAATTTCGTAAGTCCCCAGGTTTGATCGACTCGAAATATCATAATTAACATTATTATAGGGTGCTCCGTACAAGTTTGGAGTAGTCGTAAAGACCACAACTAGTTTCGAGGACGCACCCACTCCAATATTAGAGACTCTTCTCCGACTGACTTGGGGAGGAAAGGCAGCCGTTGAAGCCTCGGGTAAACTCATCCGGGACAAGAAAATCAACGTCCTAGGAGATTCAATACCAAGCGGATTTGAAGCGTATAATGAACAGCTGGTTCTTGGATATTTCGAAAAGTCAAAAATCAGTGTATGTGTTTCTCCAAACTGGTCGTCCTATAGGAGTACTAATATATCCTAGGCCCACGACGACGGTGAGAAAGAACTCGGGCCGAATGTTGCATCCCTCTCCCTTGGATCTCCTTCGGTGATAAAATTTTCCCCCAAGAAAGGAAAAGATATTGGGGGAAACAAAGATATAAACAAGAAGAGGAGAGGGTCGGTCTTGTCAGTGAAGCTGAAGCATGGTGACATGCTGGTCATGCATGGAGAACAAATCCAGAAACTATATCTCGTACGTATTCGCAATAGTTCGTTTTCCTTTTGAGTCCATGAATTGACTTATTTGGATAGCATGCCGTCGAACCGCGTGGAAAACATCGATTTGCCTTGACTTGTCGACACATCCGGCCAGATACCATTCCCGATGAAGAACAGCGCATTCTATCTATCACTACTGGGAAAGTCCCTGATCGATGGGCTGCCATTAGGTATAACGGAGAAGAAGACCAGTTCGAATCCCGTGCTACTGGAGAAGTTGTAGCCTGCCCTGGAACTGTTGTAGGAAGTACTGAGTCTCCTCAAAATCCGGCACCATCTGAATACACCAACGGCGCTGAGAGTGATTCTGTTCTCACGGTTTAGATTTTTATCATATACAGCAAGTTCTAAAGGACCGACTACTGACAAAGCTTCGCCTACCATCACCAACAATTCTATCTCGTTTCGTCTTGCTATAGCACCCCTTAGGTCCCTGAAGCAATCAGGAACTAGTCGAATATTATCAAATGTCGCAAGTGGACTTCTTTTTGTTTCACTACTTAGAATTACGCCCCAAGTTTATTTATTGCATCTACTCAATTTTCTTTTCGCTTTGGCACTAGTTTTTCTCAAGTCACAGGAGAAGTTTCATTATGTGGGAGGAGATGGACTATGCGGTGCTGCAGTGATCTCTTTTTAACGATCTCGGCATTAGCAACTACGTTAACGACTTCATGCTTTACGTGTACCTACTTGGCTCAGCTAATGCATATAAACACATCCCTATGATGTACATGACGATATCGAGCTAGAGAAATTTGGAAGGAGCTTAGCAACGGATTGTCAAGAAAAAAAACATCTATCTACGCCCCTTGTCTAGTGATTACTTGTGCATGTTCCTGTCATCATATACACAAGAGAACAACACAAAGGATGGTGACTCAATGTGCATACGCATTGTATGAGCAATGCTCATGGTCTTCTCGACAGACCAGAGCAAGCCTACGTCTTAAGACGTGTCTCTATGTGTCGCTCTACGCGCCTCCTACCCCTCTTTCCGCCTCATATCAATCAACTTTCGTCTTTTCATATTTCTCTTCTCTTTTCTACCGGCCCTTGGTCTTGCGCCTGCGCTCCCATTCGGCACGCTCTTCATCGTCACTACCGGAGAACTCGGCATCATCATCATCATTATCTTCCTGCCTAACATCAACAAACGAACTCGCCGCCACTGCCTTCTTCTTCTCCTTGGGGGGTGCAGATGTGGAGTCAACAAAGTCGCCCGCGTTCAACTCGGCATACTCATGCTTCTGGATCAGGTCGCGCAGGCCGGTATTAGAAGGGTCGACGAGTTGATAGGGTGTCAGCCGGGCCTTGTTGCGTACGCGTGTGGACGATCCGGCTTCGAGCATCATTTGTACGAGGGCGTTGCCGAATTGGCGCTGGGCAGGGGGCTCGCTGTTGATCCAGCGGATGGCGCTATGCAGGGGCGTATCCCCTTCGATACGGTTTAGAGGATCACATTCAAAATCTGGTTGGTCCAGAAGTGTGTCGATGATCTCATCTGGGGTGGAGGTGTTAATACTGTGTGATGGATTTATGTAATATGAGTCTGAGCAAGATGAAGGACGTACAGTTTCCCTGTAGGGCAGCCTCATGATAGAGGTGATTGCCCATAACGGTTGTAGTAGTGTTGAGGAGGGCGGATATTTCTTCGTCGGACTTGCAACCCGAGATTACGTCGTGGAGTAAGTCGACATTATTCCTTCGGCAGGCTTCGATCAGCCGCTCCTTTACGGAGGCGCCCTGTTGCAAGCAATAAGTTAGCTGGCTTTTCAATCTTGGACTGTAAGACTGCTATCTAACCTCGTGTTCGTGATCATCCGCCATGATAGGCTGTTCTACCAAGCTATCCCGGGTGGCAGCAGACTATTTTTTCTATTGTATTTCTTTTAGTTTCGGATTCAGGAGGAGGGTAATTAATAGGCAAGACCTAGCAAGACCTTGTCAGAAATAAGCCAGCCAGCTTTGTTTCCAAGAACGGTGACTGCTGTACGGCAGAGAAGCGCCTAAGGGTATAAATATAAATGTTAGATAAGCAAGCTTGGAAGAGCAAGCGCCGTAAAAGGAGGCTGTGACGTTTCCAAAAAAGTCCCTTGAACTCCTTCCTTGCCTGACTGAAACCCCACCACAGCCCACTAACCCACGCGTCTCTAAATTGGCTGGATCGGGAACTTACAGCCTAGGTACCGCGGGGTGACTCGGGGGAATAGTTAGAGCGTATTCCGGCGGGATGAGACGGGATCCACCTAATAATGTATTTAAGTACGTACCAAGATACCTAGGTACCTATGTATTTATGTATCTGCAAGGTCCCATATTGCTGTTAGTGCATCTTTGTCGGAGCTCCATCAAAATTTAGAATCTCTCTACTTTCAACTCAATCATAGGTTTGCTCACTCACTTGATCTACATACCCGTAAATTTACTTAGATATTTCATAAAAAAAAAAAAAAAAAAAAAAAAAACAGCGTCAGATACAGCTTTTATTGAGTCACCATGCTGCTTTGTACGTGTTCATGGCCTATACGACTATATACATGCCAACTACGGATTACATTAATGACTAACTTCATTCCTATATAGTCTGTCCGCAGTGCTCCAACATCCTGACGGTATCCGTGTCGGCAGAGGCCGGGCGCAACCGCCTCGAGTGCCGCACATGTCCGTACCAGCACTTGATCGAGGAGAACATGTACTCGCGACGATATTTCAAGCGGAAGGAACGCGAAGACGTGTTCGGCGGCGCGGGAGCCTGGGACAACGCCGACAAGACCCCCGTCCAGTGCAACAATTCCTCCTGCAGCGGCAAGGAGGCTGCCTTCTACCAGATCCAGATCCGCAGTGCCGACGAGCCTATGACAAGTTTCTTCAAGGTGAGTTTTTGTTGTTGTTGTTGTCGCTATGCTATCGTAGGCTTGATAAGACGAGACGATGCTGATGGTGATGTAGTGCATGACGTGCGGCCACAGATGGAGAGAAAACTAGATAGTATATGTAACATAACATAGAAGAGTTTGTATCGATATCTCTACTGCCTGGCGTTTGAAAGGCTCTCGACGGCGTTACGAAGGGTCGTGGAGTTCTTGGTAGTGCGTTTTTATGTAGATGCCCTAGTGTCAAGACGTCCGTCTAGGAATCATGATACCTGATTTGCTTCTACTTTTTCTGATGTATATTTTACTGTCTTCGCGTAGGTCCTTTCTTGATATAATGTAGGGCGTATCCCCTTACTTATTCCTTGTGCCAGTCCACGGCCGCTTTGGCTCCCTCGGCAGCCAGCGCATACACCAACTCAGGACTAATGATTTCTTGTCGGAAGCGCTCTTCTTGGAGCAGCTCGAGGTGCTTTAGGGTCGGGCCCGGATAGATGAGGTACTTGATGTAGGGCGGGCGGGTCCAGTATCGGAGGTAGCTAAGGTATGCGACGAAGGCTGGTTCGTTCAGGAGCTTCTGGGATGCGAGGTGGTTGAGGTAAAAGGGATTCGCGAGGGATTGGACGAACTGGTGCTCTTTTTTAGCATTGTAATATTATACAAGGGAATATGGAAGCTGGGATCAGGGAATATGTACCTCAAGCTCGACCTCGAAGCGACTAAACCCGCCGTATTTCGGCTCGTTGTCTGCCGGGAGGGGAGGCGGGGACTGCTGCATTTCGAAGTCCATTTTGGGTTGACTTGGGCTTCTTATTGTCACAACAATAGAATCTGGAGACGGAATTGGCGTATTGAGAGATAACGCGACGATTGGTATAGTAAAAGTGAGGGCTTGGTAGAAGTTAATTCGCAATGGTGTGGAGAGATGGATAATAAAGAGTTGGATGATAGAGACATTGATAAAGCTTATGTGGGGAATTTAGTTTAGGTACCTAATCTTATGGGGATGACTAAGCCACTAAGCCACTAAGCCACTAAGCCACCCAAGTTAGATCCTTCACATGTTCGTATTCCATCGAAGACAGTTTCTTCCTAAAAACACTACAGACATAAAATATTGGTCCACCAAATCCAGGCATGTATTATAGTTGAATATACTATACTATTCAGATTCCAGCTACAACTAACCAATTTGAATATGTCCCGGCGATCATCAGCTCATAATACAGCAGCTGCACCCAGTATGCCAGCCAGCACGCCAGCGCCTAATCTGACGGGCGTAGCGGCTGCATTCGGCGAGGATACACTCAGAGACTCGGTCAAGGAACTCTCGGTAGCTACCGAAGGCCTGAGCGCGCCGAGTGTCTGCGTCGCCACCGACGAGACACTTGCGAATGGATTTGACGAGATTGTGAGCTCCGAGGTCGTGCTAGCAGAAGATAGCGACCCGGTAGATGTTATAGAGTCCGATGCAGGTAGGATAGGCGTTGGCGTTGGCGTTGGCGTATCAGTTGACGTGCTAGATACTTCGCAGGCGTCGAAGCTTACGCTCTAATCTCTATGTTAGCTCGCCGAAACTACCCAACTACCCAACTACCCAACGTGGGTAAGTGACTATAGATGTGAACGACTTACAACACATCCAATTTGTGTAACGGCCATCGTTACTACCATTGTCAATATCGGAATCAACTTCATCTTGCTTATGCTTGCTATCGGAATGGTCCTCCGGTTGATCGCTAACAGGTCTATAATGGTCACGACGGCGGTTACAATGATTCGTGATTGTAAAGAGGGGTAGACTCATAAGCAAAAGAAGAGATGGGCAAACGTTCTATTTAGCAATGGCACAGATAAGATATAACATACCTACCTACCTAGCAAGAGATGATGCTACCATAACATTGACCGTTTAGGAGCGACACCACAACTTCTTTGGGAGATATACTTCCACCGTAGCACCACATATGGAGAGGATGATATGTGTATTCCCTATATGTGTATTCCCTAAACTCTACCAGCGTTACAACATGACGTAGACTGCGTACACACAAGCTCTACCATGTTACACCGTAACGGATTGACCAAACATATAAGCTTATGACTATCTTGGCTCTTCTCCTAAAAGAAAACTACAGGGTTCGGCGAAGATCTTTATCAGATTTGGGCAAATCAAATAGCAAAATCTTAATCTTCAGTTCCACTCGTAATGCTAACCATATCATGTTCCTGTTATGTACATGAAGTCCCCTCGCCCCCGCCCAAGGCTTGACCCCGCGCCATTCGCTACATAGGTATGTCACCTAACATGTCATGTCGTACCTACTGAGGGTTAGGGCTCAGGAGAGCCAATCAGAGGGGAAGCTCACAGATTAGGAATATATAATCAGTTTGCAGGCAATTCAATCATCCAATAAAGCATCAGTGGTTTAGTGGTAAAATCCATCGTTGCCATGAGCATATTCGATGGGCCCCGCGTTCGATTCGCGGCTGATGCACTTCTTTTTCTATTTTGTCCGTTTGTTCTATCGAATTCTTTTTTAATTCTTTCTTCTAGCCGTGTCTTTCTGCTAGCGTGTTAGTCTAAGCCGGCCGGGGTGACTGTGATAGATAAACCTGTGGAATTAATTACAATAGACTATACAAAAGCCTTAATATTTATACTATGTGCCTAGGTAGTGTATAAGTTGCTCCTTATCACAGGTCTCGTCGCTCTCCGCCCCACCACAGCGGATAACCCTCCCCCCCAATGGCATGTATGAAGGATAGCGGTATGGCCCCACCCCCGCTCCAACTTAGATATTGGTAAATAAAGACATTATTGCTTTACGAAATCCACCTCGGATTAGAAGTTCATGGGACTGCTAGACGATTAGACTGCCAGAGCACAAATAGTATATATATCGAAGAGCAAAGATAAAATAAAATGATCGAACCCAGGCTCGAACTGGGGACCTTCAGTGTGTTAGACTGACGTGATAACCAACTACACCATCCGACCTGGACAAGAAACGGGGAACCTGATTTCTCCATCACGTGATAGTAGACAGGTTAGAGTGTTTCAATATATATCCACTAATAATTTGCATCAGGTAATCCCTTGTGCCATTCTCTACAATGTAAAGATTTCTCAACATTGATTAGCATATTTAAGATCTTGGAACAAGTCTGAATTTAATGAGAAAGTATTTAGGCTCCTTTTTCTTATTTGTTAGGTTGATGAGGCAGAAAAAACGACCCATATCCAGAGCTCCATAAGATACTAACGTGACACTAACCATCACAAAGAACCCTCGTATCATTTATCACCCGCCAACACAAAGCCCGTATCAATGTCCACGACAGAATCTATATGAGATGAAGATCTTGGAAATACGAGATAGCCCGCGAGAGCATTTAAAAGGAAAGACTGGATAATAAAACATGGAACAAGACAGAAGGGGAAAAAATAAAAATAAAGTAAAAACAAACGTACAACACCGGGGATTCGCTGGTCGTCACCGACCCAACTACTAATCCGGCGGTATCCGGTTTATCTAAGGGGAGAGCGGACGGGATCCCGAGCTTTCCAGATCCTATGGTCGTACGTGATAGACTGTATTGTATTTACCACTTATATGTTAACTGTGGCATGTCATGTCTCCACGAATCCCACTACGAGAGAATCCCCATCCCTACCACGCTTGCCTAGCATACGTATGGACTAGTAAAGCAGAATAGACTCCATATAACTAAATACTTCTGCCATGACGGGAATAGTGTTTAAGGGGAGAAGAGGCCGGCTAATTATTATTATGCTTGTCGTAACATCTTGCTTTAGCTAAACGGACTGAGATAGGTGGTAATAATACTTCCCCTAGGAGGCACAATAGACACGATGTATCGACGCTAAAAGATAACAATAATCTCGTTTCTTGGCCTGGTACTTCCTATCTACCCTCTCACTTATACACAATATGGGTGGTTAGGTTAGTTAATTAAGTTATTCTCAAACAATGCACCTAATGTATTGATGTACCTTACATCTATGCGTACTCACCTCCTAGCTCACTAATATACAGGATCGTGTAGCTTTGTCTCTTGAAAATGGTGGATTTTAACTAGGCGGCCCTTCGCTTTCGCAGGGTCTTGGTTTATGTCTATATAAACTGTTTGCTCGCTACAGGCTCACTCACTACAAGATACTCCATCCACCAGCCGTAAACCACCAATCACGAAGAACCCCCTTAAAGGGGATGAAAAGAACTAACTATACGGTCAAATTCGAATATCTGTCTCTGCGGCTAGCTTGGGGGCGTTGCGGGGATATTATGTTTGCACGATCTGAAATCTTTTTGGCTTCCGGGGGCCAATCGCCGCTCTGTCCATCCATCTTTGGCCTGTCGTCAAACGTATCGTCGTGCAGCCTCCGGATATATCCTCCCTAGTTTCCTCTCCGTATTCCCGGGGTACTGTTCAATAGCCATCAATGAGGGCCTCTACCTACCTATTTACTACTAATAATTGCACCGAACTCGCTGTTCATGCCCGTATACCCAAAATGCTCATCATAGCAGCTTTGCGCTATAAACCCTGACACCGTGTTCAACTATCCATCAATCATGCCACCTCGTGTACCAGCTTGACAGTTGTAAAAAGCCAGCATTGCGTCCCTGGCATAACAACTACGGGATTATAGCAGTAGCGAGTCTCACGAATATTGAAGCCATCTCTAAACTTAATTTTCTTTACGTGATCTCAGAATGAACGTCAGCGGCGTTTCTATCTGGCCCCGCTATCCGGTGCTCCCAAGACCCCTTGGGGATTTTGTGCCGCTTGGGCTGCTAATTGCATAGCAGCTTGAGCATTTGCTTCAGCCTGGTGGACGACATTTTGAATAACGCCTTGCTCATCTGCTGACAGACTTGAAGTGAGATTAGAGTAGAATTGTGGGTTTTCTTGTTGCATCTCTGTGAAAACGGGTTAGCGACTGCGAATAAGGAGGGGAATGCTTATTGGTATGTAGGGACTCACTCATTAAGACAGTTCGGAAGAGTTGATAAGGCTCAACCTTGTTCAGAGGCGATTCAAGCGAGACACTGTCTTCCCCAAGTTCGTCATCTGACTCGTCAACGAGACCCCCATGTTGGTTCTCGATTTGGCTGAATTTGGCGGCTTCCTCGTTGAGGAATTCTAGATAGGCCGTACTCTCATCGCGAGCATCTCCCTGGTCTCCTTCTGCTCCTTCCTCAACGGCCCAGCTGGTATCCTCATCGGCCCATTCGTCCTCGTCCTCATACCCGTAATCATTCGAGTCGTACGTAAAGTCTTCCTTCAATGCTTCCTCGCGGTTCTTTAGGGCAGTAGGTAACGTCTTGAAGAGGCCAGTAATCCCTTGCAAGAGCCTTGGCCAGCCGACGCTGACACTTGCAGGAATCTGGTCTGCGTGCAAACTTAGCAAGGTGACGATAGCCACGATACATAGCTTCTTGTCGTGCACTCGACTGAAGTGATCCATGTTACTGAACCAAAGACTGAAGAATTTGTTAGTCCACCCCTTGTTCTCTAGGATAGCTAAAGTCAAAAGCGGGTTATAGTAGATGGCATTTATAACCATTTCCATCAGGTGGATCTTGTACGACTTGACCCTGATTTCTTGACCACTGAGCACCGTCATAGCCGTAGTGATAAATCCCGAGACAGATTGATCAATATGACCACGCAGACTTAACATCATAGCTTCCGCAAGCTTGCACGCGCAGATGCGATCGACATCTCCGACTTTCTGATCTTGGAGGAACATATCTTGGACCATCCCGTATAGAGCCTGGACGTACTCGTGCTTCTGGGCTAGTTGGCTGGCACCGTACTGCACAAAGTTGTCCAGAGCTGGCAGCATATCCTCGAAGTACAGCTCAGCGCCGGATTTGAATGTGCCGTGGATGAGCTCGAAGGCTTGCCACATAGTGGGCGAGATGCTTTTCGCGGCAAAAGTACAACTGTCGATTATTTCGAAAACTTCATTATAGAGATCTAATATACCGTTAATTAGCCAAACGATCAGAGGTAGAATGTCAACTATGTTTACCGTATAACCTATTCTCCAAGGTGACCTGGATGACGGGCATTAGAACAGCCTCGATGTGTAGTAGCACGTCAGGAGTGCTTTCTAATGTTAGGATTAGGGTGCCAATGGTCTGCAGAACACCCAAGGCAGTTATGCTCTTGTCGTCCAGGTAATCACCAAAATCGTCCTCGTCACGACCATTAGTCTTGGCGAGAAGCTCGCTGATAATCCTGAGGTAGGTGTCCCTTAGCTGCTCGCTCAAGGCTACCGCGAACGGGGTTAGCTCGGCCGCGAACACCTCGACGAAGTCCTCCATCACGTTGGCCAATGCATCGATATCACACTCATTAGCCAGCTTGAGGAGTTGCTGCATGATGGTAGGAATGCTCTGCTGCATGCTTATACGGATAACGTCGTGTCGAATTAAAGGTTGTAGCGCTAGCGCAGCCGTAACTCTGACGGGCAGATCGCTATCAGCCATACAGTCGAGGATGTGCCGATAAACGAGGAGTAGGTTGTTCTGATCCTTAAAGTTGAGCTGTTCAAACTTCTCGATGGTATCACAGGCACGGGCTCGCAGATAACCTAGAGGGCTCTTAAAATCGGGGAAGACGTAACGGACCAAGAAATATTCGATCTGGTCGGCAACCGGACTCTTCTTGCCTAGGAGAACCGGCGCTAGAGTAGCAATCATCCTCAAAGCACCCTCCTTTGCGATATGATTCTTCTTATCCTCAGGCGCCTGCTCGTACTCGTTAACGACACTATTGACAAATTGTAAGATATCGAAGGTCTGCTTTCTGCGAGCCTTGGTCAAGGTAACAAGAAAATTAGTCGCCGCCACATCGGGGGCTGAAACCTCCTCGTAGAAGTTTAGCTTCCTATGAAGATACTCTTCGGGTTCGTCTTCGAATTTTTCCACATCCTCTTGGCTTAGACACATAACTGGGAAGATCAGATGAGTAACCAAGTTGGTGAGATGAGGTTGCATCAAGCTCCACATAGACTTCGGCCGACAGCATTCGTCCAGAAAAATAAGCGTGTACGATAAACACGGTTTGCTAAGCCAGGACGTCTTAGAAACCCATTTCTCAATCTCTTGAAGGTAATGCTTAAGGATTTCGGGTGCGATGGTACTCTCGAATTCCTTAGAGTATCTAGACATCTCGTCGTTCTT